TAACAGCGATCTTTACGCCGGTGGCTGGCCGCGTCCTTGTGTCTCACTGGGCGCACAGCGTTCTCAGGATTTCGCTGGCCGAACTCGCGGTTACGTCCAGAGATGTCGCACTCGACTGGTCCACGATGGCGGGAGCTGAGAGTTGCAACACGCCCAAAAATCGGCCCGGAAATGGGGATGTGGCCAGGAGTCGTGATTCCCCGATCTACGAGTGGATGGCCCGCTGCTGCTTTCTATCGCCATGTGTGAGGTCAGCTCAGCTATCGGCATCGGCTAACTCTGTCGTGACGTGCGAGGTCGGCTACCGGATATTGACTGATTATCTCAGCTTCTTCATGCCGCAACCGCAGCCGTGTGCCGTCCTTGTCGGAATGCTTCACCGGCACCGCAAAATTCTTTTTTATGAAGAAGGGTTTCCTCCGATTTCTGCAATGGTCATGCGCTCGTCTAGACTTTAGAGAAAAAATAAAATAAAATAAACACATTGGCGTCTAGACTTAGCAATTACTCCCTCTGTTCCAAAATAGATTACCCAATTTTATACTAACTTTAATATGTTGGGTCATCTATTTTGAAACGGAGGGAGTATGTTTGAAACTAAGTTGCCATTGATTCAGATAAGATCAAGCAAAAAAAATTTGAAAAGAAAAACTGAAATAATAAATAAATTTGCCATGGGATGTTTAAACTAAATTTGCCATGGTGTAAAAAAAAGAATGAACCACGATTTGTTCAACAAATGTGTACAAAAAAGAAATTTACCATGGTTTGTTCAAAAAATTTGCCATGTTCCAAAATATTATTGACCATGGTCCAACAAATAAGTTTTCAATGGTACATGTTTTTTTTGCCATGTTTCAAATATAAATTAGGCATAGTTCAAATATAAAATTTGTCATGGCTTGTTAAGTAAGTTAATTTGCCATGGTCCAAAGAAAAGAAATTTGCCATGCTCCAAAAAATCACGCCACAAGACTTTTGTAGGTAATGGCAAATAAAGATAAAGAGGTAAATTTATCATGGCAAATGTACTACATATAATCAATGCAAATGTCGTATTGCGTAGGTTTGATGAAAGACCATGGTATTCGCTAAAATATTTTTTTTGTGGTCCATAAAGAAAATTACACAATTTTTACGGTGTGTATAAAATGATTTTTGTTAGAATAGTTCAAAAAATATGCAAAATTGCCATGTGAGAAAGTAAAAAAAAACATTTCACATAATGGAAAAGAAATATGGATTTGCCAAGCCGCAGAAGATACATTTGCCACATGGTCAGTAATTCCCATGCTATCTACAATAAAATTGTCATGGTAGAGAGAACTTGTCATGGTATCTGTAATTTAAAATATGCCATGATAAATGTTTTATTTTGACATGGTCTAATTCAAATAGAATGTGCCCATTTGCCATGTGAACATGGCAACAATTATACATGTCTCTAAATATAAACCCACAAGAAAAATATACGTCTGTCAATATAGGATATATCTCGTTCACTGAAAGATTTCTCCATTTCCACCTCCTCTTGTGGGAACATTAAGTTTTTGTTTTGAGGGGGTGGGAACATTATGATTTCACTGAAAGATGAGACTAAGAGCATTTACAACCACAAATGCCAAAAGCCGGTCCTCAGGTTTCGTGTCATCCTGTATATCTCGACTAGGAGGGACGTGGAGTATTTGCTCCCGAGCTCAAATGCTTCCTGATGAACAGTAAAATTAAAAAAACTAAAAAAATGATCTTTTTTGGTAAACTTTGACAAATGTTTTGTATGCTTGCAAAAATTCAACACGAATGACATTCGTGGAAGTCGTGGCAGAAAAAGCGATGCTAAAAAAATGCTAGTTTTGAAAATATTTTGAAGTGCTGATTTTTTTATTGCTCCCACGAATGTCATTTCGTGCTGAAATTTTTTACACAGAAAAATTTCAGAATTGTTTGAATTTTTTCTATTTTACTCTTCATGAGGGTCCATTTGAGCTCGGGGTCGGAATAGGACTTTCAGACTACGAGCACACGCAATGACTCTACCTCCCATTGTTGTCAAGTTTGCCATTATGTATGTCATAACTATGAGCATTTGCAATGGTTTTTTTCTGGCAAAGGTCAAACTTGTTTTTCTCCTTTTCCACCTCCTCTTCTAGGAACATCATATTCTTGCTGAAAGATTAATTTCAAGGAAAACATACTGGGTCATAAAAACCGCAGTTGTTTTTGTGTTTATTTTGCAGTTTAGGCATCCAAATGACACACTTTGTATGCTCACTCCAGCCGTGGATGTAGATGAAGTATACTCCTCGTCGGAGGAAGATCCTGTCTCCAGATTCCAAACGGGGCGACTCAACCCATGTGGTGAATCCAAATTTATACTGCTGGTGAATTGCTTCACCTCTTTCTCATCGACGGTATATCCACCCATGCTGCCTCAGTTTGTACCAAGAAACCTCGAGTTTAACTAACCAGGCTCGGTAATTTTAATAGCTACTATATGTAAGCACATGCACTGTCTCTGACTCTCTCCAATCTCTGTTTCAATCAGGGAGGCAAACATCTCAAATCTGCAAGATTGCTTCCAAAAGCAGAACTGTTAGAATCGCGATCAACTGTTGCGATATCTCGCTGGCTGTTGCTGCCGACGGTGCTCCTGCGATTAATTGTTAAAGATGTAAATACCCTGGTTGCTGGATTACTAGCATAACACTGGAATCGTCGGCCGTATTATTAGATTATTTTCAGCTGCATTTCCTAGGAAATTGGACGGAAGAGAGGAACAGGACTGGCCCTCCGTAGACGTCGTACCATGGATTCCAAAAATGAGGTACTCTGATCCGTGGGTCTGCCCCTGCAGAGTTGCCTGTATCAGGTGTATAAATCTTTCCGTTCCAACAAGCTGCTTAAAAAAGTAGGAGTATTACTTGAGATCGAACAAAACCAGGAGTATAAATAATTTAGCAAAAAAACAAAAGTGTTCATTTAGTAACTGGTACTCACTTGCATACTGGAGTGAAGAGCAGAAATATGATGTGGCAGGCTAGGGGCGACGGCTTTACGTGGTGATGTGGCAGGCCAGGGGCGACGGCTTTACGTGGTGGCTGCGTCCAACGCACACGATTCCAAATATCGTTGTACTATTGTTAATGTGCTCCTTCATTTAAGAAGTTTTTGTGCATCAGTAGTGTAAGTACAACTATAATTTTGTCATTCGTCTTTAATATACATTCACAGCTAGTATCATCTTCGCTTTCTTGCGCGGGGTTTAGGTGTTTAACCAAGTGATACGGCTGCTACTGTTTTAATAAGCAGGCAGGCACATGCGTCGCGTCCCAGCGCTCCAGATCAAACGAAACAAATATCCGAAAGATGCGCTGCCGATCACAGAAATATCCATGCGGTCGACATGGGTTGCATAATCGTATCAGTTCTTCTGTGATGTGCGTCGCACGTTCCTTCCAACGGTCCGTCATGGTGGACGGCGACCCGGCCAGCCAGCTAGCAGCTGCACTTGTAGGCGTAGTCCTAGACTAGACAAGGAGAGGAGCGGATAAAACCCACCGAGCTGCCTTTGCCTAGCGCCGCCGCGGCGAAAATCGGGGAGCTCCGTTGGACCTTGGACGGGAGCGAGTCCGCTCCGGCGGCGGCGGGCTCGTAAAGTCAGAGGCCTGCCGACGGATCCATCGTCGGGAGCTCGGTCGGATCAACGCAGTAGGCTTTGTTGGATCAGGACTTGACGAGGCAAAACTGCGTTGCGTTTCCAAGGCTCCCGAGTCCAAAGCCACGAAGATATCTAGGCAGGCAGAGCGGCCGCGAGTAGCACGCCACCGGTACGAGATAGTACTAACTGGCGGCGGCCGCCAACAAGTCCATTCTCAAATGGATCGGTCCGTCCCGCCATTAGTACGTGCACGAGCCTTTTTTTTTTTTGAACATAAACCGTAGAACAATCGTTCTACGGGTATTTCATTAAAATAAATAGTTTACAATATGTACAAAGTGAAACCCAGAGAAGCTCAACCCACTCATGTTTTGTTGAATCCTGAAGCTAGCATTATTATGTTAAATGTTGGTCAATCCAGCTGGAAAATTGGTCTCTGAATTTAGCTTTTAGTCTGTGCAACAGGAGCTGAAGATCAGTCTTGATGCACGAGCCTTGGACGCGGCTTATGTTCTACATGGAGTGGAACACGTGGCTAGCTGACCCACTACAAGTAAATCAAAACGGAGGGAGTAGAGCTCAAGGCTGGTCGGGTTTGAATGGACAACGGTACGCTTGAAGTCGGACAGTGATCTCCAAAGTCAATCGGGACTCAGGACGTGTCTAGCTAGCTGCTCAAAGCTCCAACCATAGGGATTAGTTCCCTTGCAAAAGGACTGATTGAGCTAGCCAGCCACTAACAAATACATACATGGAAAAGGCACATGACATAAGATAATGATACTTACTACAGTACTTTGCAAACAAAATCAAAAGTGTATCCATAATAATACAAGCATGAGTATAAGGATCTCAACAGCAATCTCACGGGACAAATTGCAGTCAAACACAACAATTTCTCACTCGGGGATTGACTTGAGCCAGAGAAACACATTGTTAACAGAACTAGGCAAAGTAAAAAAGATAGTCAGACTTCCTGACCCCTGATACTTGGTCTGATAGTTCCATATCGCCCTTCTCTACCAAACAAATCACTTACTGTAGACTAACGGCCATTTAGGAGCAGCAAGTAGTATAATCATCTAACTACTCTCTCCATTAGGGTTTATTAGGCCCCTTTCATTTTGAGCCGAAGTTTGATCATTAATTTTTACTAATAAAATATAAACTATATATTACGAAAAAAATACCATAGAAAACCTCTTTCAAATACAAATTCAATAGTATAATTTGTGCAGCATATACTTTATATATTTTTAGTTAGATACATGGTTAAACTTGGACCCAAAATACAAAGGGGCCTAATAAACACGGACGGATGTAGTAGTAAAAGGACATGGCTTCAGAAGTTGGCTTGGCTTGAAGTCCAAGCAAGCTTGCCCTCAGCATTGCCGGACATTGCAAGAAGACATCCAATGCTGGCGTCCGTGAGAGAGAGAGGCATGCAGTTAAAAGTCTTGCTGCTCATATCAACCCGAACCCAAAAGCTTGGCGTGGATGGAAAGCAGAACTCCAGGTCCTGGTAGATGTACTCACCCAGTGCAAAGTAGATGACACGGTCTTCCTGCATGCTGAGGAAGGGGTACATGGGTGCCATGGAGGTCGGCAGGTGTTGGTTCCCTTTGAAAGAACCCTCTTCACGCAGACTCCCTAGCTTGAGCTCGTAGTCTAAATCCCAACTCATATCTTCCTCGAGTCGCCAGGCCCTCACCATGCAGTCATCCACAAGATCCACACGCTCAAGGAAGCCGGTGATGGACACAAACTTGATGGAGTCCCCAACACAACCCACGGCATGCATGAGAGAGGCGGTTTGCTCGCCCGACCAACTCTCGTGGCCACTCAAACCGTAGACGAAGAAAGAGTGTTGTCGATCTACCCCCTCCCGCCCCTACCCGTAATTGTAATGTTCATTGTTGTCATTAGCTAGGTATATGTTTGTGCATATGATTCCTTGTTGTGATCCGTCTCTCATGTTTGTATATTGTCATGTTGTAATACTTGCAGAAACTTTGGACAGAGACTTAGAACAAGAAGAGTTGTTGGGGGATACAATCCGCGACGGAGGTGATCCCATGTCGTTTTTCAACGACACCGATGGTCAGGAAGGAGAGGATGACGGCTCCGATAATCCAATAATGGAGGAGGAAGGAAATGATGACGGCTCCGGTGACCAAATGGCGGAGGAAGGAGACCATGATGACAGCTCCGGTGACCGAACGAAGGAGGGAGCTGTTGCAAAGTCCGGTGAGGTATATATATTAATTAAGCCTATGCTGACTAATTGATGCATTAATTGTTTTGGTATGTACATATATTAACGCTTCTTTCTTCTTTTATAGCCCTTCGGATCGAGCCAAACTTCCGTAAAGAGACGAGGTCCGAAGAAAAGGTTGCGCCAGGATGAAAGGTTCATGATCACAGAAATCATGGACGATGGCCAACCGATTGAACCCAAGCGGACCAAGGACGCATTTGTTGGTCAGTGCGGAGCTATTGTTAAGGATAGCATCCCGATCAGCCTCCAGCAATGGAATTAGAGTAAGGACGACCCTGAAGTTTCTTATGTCTAGGATAGACAGAAATATGATCTTTGGACCTCGCTGAAGGCAAATTTCACCCTACCTCCAGAGGAGGATCCGAATAAGCCAGTTATAGAGCCAAAGGTCAAGGCGTGTGCTCTTAAGAAGATGGCAGATCTATTCAGGAACTGGAATAAAGAGTTGAACACAAAGTTTGTCGACAAAGGGAAGACTCTAGAACTCACCGGTCGATATGAAAAGATAAGAGATCACTGACCCGCATTTGTGGCCTACAAGACATTAGAGAAGGGTAAGAAAAGGTCAGAGAGAAACAAGAAAAATGCTGCAAAGAAGAAGTATCACCATCACACGGGGTCAGGTGGCTACTACAAAGCTCGGTCGTTGTGGGACAAAGCTGAGCAAGACTTGCTTGCTAAAGGGGTCCAACCAGTGACATTGAACTGGCCAGACCGTTCAAGGACTTGGTTCTTCGGGGTTGGGGGAACTTTGGACCCAGAAATAGGGGAGTGTCGTTGGACGGACGAGCAACTTGCAATAACCATCAGGAAGCTTCGGCAATATATCAGCGCAGCGCAGGAAGGGACGTTCATTCCCGACAGAGAGTAGGACGAGCTGACTGAGGCCCTCGGAAATCCTGAGCACCCTGGACGAACACAAGGCACACTAGGCTCCGTTCCGTGGGTGGTTGGGTTTTCCGGCGTAGGCGGTTACAGAAGTCGAGAGAGAAAGAGGAAAGCGGAGCTGGGCGAAATGCAGAAGCTCAATGCAAGAATAGCGAAGCTAGAGGACTTGCAGCTGCCGGCCAACCATCTCAGTGGCACGAAGCTACCCCAGAAGCTACCCCACCATCTCAGCGGAGAAGCAACGTGGCTTCCACGAAGCTCGTTCAGCCTGATTTCACGAATCCTCGCTACCCCGTGGATACTATCATGGAGGCTCAACATTGCGAGCTTATGACGAAATGGCAGAACCTGACTTTGAAGGCGGATGTTGGCTTTGTTGCACCTCCTCAAGCTGACTGTACTTTTCACTGTCGTCCGATTCCACATGGCTATGCTGTTGTGATGGAGGATGAAATAATGGAGGGGTTTGAGGAGCTGGAGCTTGACCACCCTACAGGTGAAGGGGAGAATCAGTTGGTTTATGCTTTGAGGGGTACATGTCTATGGAGGAAGGAGTACATCAAGCTTCTAAACTGGACGGCTCGTCCTCCTCCACCTCCTTCGGCGAGTCAGGGCACTCCGCCTCCTCCTCGTCCTCCTCCGGCGAGTGATCGGGGCACTCCGCCTCCTTCGGCGCGTGAGGGCACTTCGCCTCCTCCGACAAGTCGGAGCACTCCGCCTCCTTCGGCGTGTCGGAGCACTCCGCCTCCTCCTCCGCCTCATCGGCAACGGCGGAAGAGAGTTGTCGCCGCTCCGGCGGCTAGCAATACAAGCAGAGGCGGGAAGCAATTCAAAGACGGTCCGTCTCTCAAGGCTCTAGAAAAGTTACCATGTGAGAGGATCGACAAGGAAAACGAGGACATCTGTGTTGTCGAAGTGAAGGACCATTTTGCAAAGAAACCTCCACATCCGAAGGAGACGGTAATCCGGTGAAAGTGAAGCGCACTATCGATGCCCTGAAGCGACCACCACCGCCTCCGCCGGATTCCAACTATGTCCGCTGTCTTAAAAATACATATGAAGATGCACGGCGGTCGGGAAGTACTTCCAGTGATGCAAGGTTAGCAGAACGAAGAAGTGGGGAAAAAATTCCCCAGCTTGGCAAACAGGCAAACCGATCGTGCCCCCCGCTCAAGGTGTCTAGCGATATCGTCGCCAATCATCCGGGGCTACTGCCCGATACCAATCCTGCTGATTACCTGAGCGATGATGCAGAGTTTGAAATAATGGAGGTGGAAAGCTTCAGATACCAGTACGGGAAGCCCCTCGTCAAACCTGATCATCCTCCTCTAACAACGATGATGCGAAGATTGCATGAATGGTACATGAAAACCTGCAGCGAGTCTGGGAAGGATAGTTTGTTGCTGAGTATTAAAGAGGAGCACGGCCTCGTTGGAACTGAGCTGTTGCCTGTTGAATTTGTGGAGTTATTCCAGTTATACAATCAATTGGCCCTCAAAAAACAACTCGTGACTTGCTATTGTCTGTAAGTATTACTTCTGTAATTAAGTCTCTCTATATAGCTCAGCTCTTTCAATTGCATGTATATATAATTATCCTCACTATATTATGCAGATTGAAGATCGTCAAATGCAGAAAAACACAAATCTATGACATTGGGTTCATTAATCCAAATACCATAAATGAATGGTCGGTTAAAAACAGAGTCACAGACATCGAGGACAACTTGCTACAATCGTTGCTTAAATATCAAAATAAAGAGAAAAATACTCTTTCCTTACAACTTCAAGTGGGTGTTACTGTCTTGTGCACATTCGGTTTCCCTTACTCGAGGTTATAGTAATGTAATTGATGAGTTATGCATGCATGCGCAACTTCCACTTTATTCTGCTAGAGATTAAGTTTGACCGGGGAGTAGTAACTGTCTTAGACTCGAGACGAAAAGATCCCCAGGACTATGCGGACATGACTGAAATGCTCCAGAAGTAAGATCAATCGATCATTATCGCACCATATCGGCAACTTTGTTCATTTCCTGATATCAAGTAATTATTTTCTTTGTCTGGCAGGGTTTGGAAAGAGTTCACTGGAATTGTTCCAGGACTGCCAAGGGAGCTAGGATTTACACACCCGAAAGTAAGTACTACTAGCTAGTTCCGCGCATCTTCATTCTAGTTTCATCAATACCATTTATCATGCTTGATTATCAGTTTGATTGAACTCTATTTCTCGTAAAGTGCTTGTGGCAGGAAGCCGTGAATGATTTATGTGGATACTACGTTTGCGAGTTCATCTACAGCACGACCTATCAGCGGGGCTACTCTGAAAAACAATATCAAGTTGTAAACAATAATATTCACTATTTTATTTTATTATCATCATTTGTGTTGAGTTTCATTCATATATATGTATTAACCCCCTTCTTTAAATTAGATCTGGCAGATGCAGGATCGCATACGATCAATTCAAGAGGAATTGGCGGGATTCTTTCTTGACCACGTCATACATAAAAACGGAGAATACCATGTGGAAATTGATCTAGACTTTAGATGTTAGGGATTGTAAGAGATCTTATATTGTATATATGTAGCTAGTAGCATCGGATAGATATACAAAAACTTGTTGTTCGACCAATCTCTCGGAGAAAGAGAGAGGTCACTCCTCTGTGTATATGTTCATGACGATCTTGTGTAATTAATGGTTCCTTCATTTTCTTACTAGCTAGCATGTCGAGTTCTCTCTATATGTATAGTAGCTAGTGTCGACCAAGAACGGAGAAAGAGAGGACACTTCTCTCTATTAGCTAGCTAACACAATATGAAACCCCTGAATTAACCCTCCACCCCCCCTTCAAAAAAATATAAAAACCCCAGCTCCTGCCAGATGCTGAGGCGTAGATGCCTTTTGGTCCCGGTTGGTGTTACCAACCGGGACTAAAGGTCCTCCTACCTGCGCGCCCCGCAGTGGCCACATGGAGCCCCTTCTGTCCCGGTTTGTAAGAGAACCGGGACTAAAGGTTTTGGGATTTAGTCCCGACCTTTTTGTCCCGGTTCCAGAACCGGAACTAAAGGCCCTCTGGAACCGAGACTGATGCCCTATTTTCTACTAGTGCTCGCCTGTGCTTTTCTTCCTCCGTCTTTTGATCTAAATAAAAATGATGTATGGTATGTTAGATGGCAGTTGTATGCCAGGATTTCCTCTGTATGGGTCAAGACTTCCTTAAGTTTATGGTACTGGGACCTGCTTTTGAGCCCAGACCTTAGATATGGGGGGGGGGGGTGATGGCTTCCCCCCTCTTCCTCTCAACAGTTAGCTTCTGAGGTGCTTGCAGTATTTTTTTAAGTTCCTTTTCCTGTAAGACTTGGTGATTTCTATTAATGGAAATCGGAGAGAGAGAGCTCTCTTTTATATAAAAAAAGCAATCTCATGGGACAAGTTGTAGTTGTTAGATGTGTATAGTCCCTTTTCGGTATATCCCCTTTATATAAGGGGTTTTCTGCACTTTGACACACATGTATATGTA